TTCATGTAAGCTGCATTCAACAGCTTACATAAGTGTTATCTTTCCTGAAGATTTCTGCTTCAGAGGTTTTATGTACAGTATACCAGGTGAAAAACGTCACTCATGCTTGGTACGGCCATCTCCTGTTTGAGTGTGATCATGTCTTCTGTTTTTACCATGGGAAAAATACCAGTCTCTGTGTCTCTGTGTGGATGTATGTCTATTCTTTACCACACTCTGAAATAGCAATGTAAAATGTCTTGACATTTTCCACAAAAAAAAAAAAAAAAAAAAAAAACCCCAACAACTTTGGAAAGAGTTCATGGTTGGAATGTTTCTGAGGAAAAAGAATTCACAGAAGATTATGTTTCAAAAGAGAGTGATGAATAATGGAAAGTATGAACTGTGAAGTCCTATTATATCACTTGTATTTAGGTTAACCACATTTAATTTTTTAAAGCCCATAAATGCTTAAGAAATTTTAATCACATAATGAACTTATTTGTAAACTTACATACTGCCCTGAAGGAGACACTGATTGTTGCATTCTGTTGTGACTCATGTGCATCTCTGCTTCAGGCTGCCAGGAGTCAGAAAACAAAGTAGTATGTAGTGACTAAATTTCCAATAGAGTTATCCTCAGGACACTCCACTGCATTTCTTTTAACGTACTAAGATGTGAAAAATAAAAAGAGAGTGATATAAAACAGTCTTTATGTTTAAAACTTAGCACTGTTTTCTTTCATTCTGTTAAAAGTAAAATAAGCACACTTACACACTTAACAGGAATATCCTTTATTTTTGTTGCCCACTATATTTAAAATAGGTATTTCAGCAAATGTACATAAAAACCTTTAAGACAGTATGTGAAAGCCTTTTCCTTAATAAAAATACTACTATTACTTCTGAATTTTCCTTCAAAATTCAAGTATCATCAACTTTACACAACAGTTCTTGTTCTCCAAATATCAGAAGTAAACCTGCATGCATGCTACATCTTAATAACATTTTTTTTTTCATATTTAGTTCTTTATTGCATGTCAGTGAAAATGTAAGTCTACAGTAAACTTGAAGCCACATCAAAGTATTGCCATCTGGTTTTTCTTCTATTGACAAGACAAATAGGTTTAAAATACATTTAATTAGAGCATGATCTGTGATTAAATATATCATGAGTGACAACATATGGTAGTAGTCACAATTAAAAAACCAGTTACTTGGGTTCCTATTTATCTGTCAAGTGAACTGGTTTATCTGCTGATCATAAATGAATGTCAGATGTCATCTAATGGCTTTTTAATAGAAGGAAGCTTGACAAAATACTGGCAGATGGTATTCTGGGTAATGATCCAGACTGCAGTAATCTCAGTAATGACTTATCTGTTTACCTGGCCCCAAACAAAGAAAGGAGGAGAAGGGAGGGGCCACAAAAAGATTCAAGTAGCCTGGACTGCTTTGGCATTGTAAATGTTCAAATCACTGAAGCAGCACATTCACTTCTGCAGTGGGACAAAACATGAAATTGATTAAAACAGTATAAATGCAACAGGAAGATCTTCCTCCTCCGCAGGCAGTTTGGAATGGAAACTTACCTAGTTCTCATGGACTTTTTTTTTTTTTTTTTCCTGTTGTTTGCTCTGAAGTGGTCAGTTGAGGAGAAATTCTGTCCTTTAAAGAAAAACATCTCATCTCACCACTGGGCCACCCCAGCAGGATTTTTCTCAAGGAATGGTGATCCACTCCAAAGCAGAGGCAACAACATTAAGGAATTTTTTAGAAGCCACACAGGACTGCTGTGTGGCCTGAAAATCTTCCTTTTGCCTCACATTGACATGGATCATGATACAGGACAATGATTATTTTTCTGCTTCCCTTAACAACTCACAGAAAAATCTCTAAGCAGCAGTCATGAACTTTAATGAGTATCTCCTGACTTTGTCACAGTTACAGTTTCTGAAACCTGAAAAAAATACTTATGTCATGTGAAATTCCTTTTCAGATACTGAAAGTTCCATTGCAGTTAGAATTTGATGTTCTACGTAAATACAAGTGGAAGCCTCATGAAATTTTCATACATAACTAAACATATAATAAGAAAAGTCTTGCAATCAACATTAAGTAGTAAATCCCATTGGAATCTGTTGAACTTTTCTTCTCTCCAACCTCATCTACCATATACTTCCACTGCTGAAAATAGTGCTGGGAAACTTGTTGATCTGTTGACTTGGAGATATCCATCCCAATAAAATACAAGATGACCTGAACTTCAGCTCAGCACCAGTGTCACACTGAGTAAATTAAGAGGGCACTACAATCTACTCAGGAGGGGCTGGGTGTGATACTGGACTGTTTGCCAGGATATTGGACAAAAGAGAAGTAGCATTATACTGAGGTATACAGATGTTGGTGACAGGCAGGAGAAATATCCTGAGAAAATAGCTCTTATGCACTTTCAGTCAGGCATCCAGCCTCGCTGTTATCAAATTAGTCTGTAGTAGAGATGTACTTCTGTTTTTCAGGTACTTTGAGAACCACAGGTGACAAAGTTGTGTTATTTTCCATTAGGTGTGTTCAGTCTTTTTGTGAACTACTGCAGACAGTTTTAGCACTGCTGTTCAACCCACCTGTGAAGATCTGCAAGGATCACTTAAGAGACAATTTCTGCAGCTAGCAAAAGTCGGCTGCTCCTTCCATAGCAGCATCAGCTACAAGATTTCCTTTCTCACGAAGCAAGTGGTTTTCAATTCCAAGTATAATCTACCAATTTCTGATTTGGAAGGATTGGTCTAATTTCCTGTGAATCTCTGAGAAAACCTCAGAAAGATTTGTCTCATAAGACATCTGCTGAGGTCTAATGATGGTAGTCACTGTGCTCAGACTCTCACTCTGCATGTGGCTGGAAGGTGTTGTGAGTTTTCACCAAAGTTAGGCAGACCTTGGGAAATATAAACTCTGGTAGCGAGGGCTGGGCTGAAAACCTGTATGTTCACTCCCAGTCTGCAGAAAGCTATTTTATGTTCTTATAATCTGTCCAGAAAGCCAGTTTTAGCTCTCCAGGCTGGCATACTAAAAATTATGTTTGAGAACAAGCCGACATGCAGATGATGTGCACTGAGAATACAGAGATAAACAGAACAAGATACTGTACTCTCCCATATCTCACTTGACCTTCTGACAACTGACATCCTGACACCATACTGTAAATGAAGACCTCAGCTATTCTGTAGCCTTCCATAAACTCCACAAAACCAAAGACTGAATTGGGGTAAACATCACCAGTGATATGACAGGTTCAAGAAACATGGGAAATCAGGTGCAGGAAGGATATGAGGAAAAAAACAGGGCTAAATGACATCAAAACCTGATCAGTTCCTAAAGAAGACTTTTAACAAAGCTTCCCCTCCTATTACCCGCACACCTAACCAACACCTAAGTCACAATAGCTTTCTATGGAAAACAAAAATATAAGTATTGAAAACATGGGAAATACTGACTTTAAAAGAGCATTTTTCCTGCCTGCTACTTCTTTAATGTCATATAACAGGCACTTTGAGACAACTAAACCTTTTGATATATTCATGTGTTTCATATATATGACCTCAATTGGATTCTCTTTCTCTAGTCAAGTCACATAACAAGGCTTAAAAATCCTTAGGTCTTAAGAATCTGAACAGGATGCCCATTCAATGTTTCCATTTCACATTAGCCCTCCAAGACACGTTAAGCTTGTTGATTTGCTAACATGAACTTCACGGGCATATACAGTGAGTTGGCTTGTCTGTAATCAGTGTTTTTAACCAAGATTTAGGTCCTTTGTTTGAAGACTATATTTGGGAAAGGTTTATTATGCCTCAGAAATCCTCTGTTAGGAAGTAAGATCTTGAGCAGTAGTCAATCATCTTGAGGTACAGCTTCATAGATAGTTTGTTTTCTTTTTAGTTTGTTTCTACCATGGACATCACTATTCCAGAAAAAAAAAACCCAAAACACTATCACAAATATTTAGGAGTATCCAGAGTCTAATTTTTCTTAACAAGTTATTTATTGATCTATTTTCTAATAAAACTGTTATTTCATCACGTCTACCTTCATCTGATTTACACAGCTGTGAAATTAGAAGCAAGACCTGAAGGGTTTTTTTTATTTCTTCCAGAGTAGCTGCTTATAGCAACAATTGATATAATGGTTACAGTCACTAACAACCAGGCTACAGGAAAATTCTCACAACTCAAAATTCTCCTTTCAGTACTTTTGGGGGTTATTTTTGCAATGTGAGCTAGATAATCTAGAGGGAGTTATTTATTTGTTTCAAGGGCTGTAAAGTATACTGTAATGAACATTTCTGTTTGGGGAACTAGGATATAACCTTTTTAATGGTCCTCCTTTTGCAGATTTGTTTTGTTCTTTCTCACCTATATTCACAAGCAGATTTTAGATGCAGGGTCCTATAAAACTTACTGCAACAAAAGATGACAGAGGGAATTTCTTAAATACAATTAAATCACAAAGTGAGTTTGTTTAAAAAGTTGCTGCACGTTTTTAATTTGATTTTTTTTTCTTGGAGCAGCTATTTAGCTATGGTTTTAATTTTTTATCTTTTGCCTGTACATTGAAATGGGAGTGGCATTTATAGCTCATACATTCATAACCAATTTGCCTAGGTTTCATGTGCTATATACACCTTGGCAAGCTTTCTTCAAGCACTTTTTCTTTTTGAACGCTGCAGTTCTGTGCATACTCAACTACTGTCCTTGTAGCTCTGTTTCTCTCCCCTTTACCTTTCTTAAAAGTTGAGAGTAGTCAGATATTAAATTAGCTCCAACACTTATAAGGAACTTTCCTTGCATTGCTTAAGATCTAGTTAGGGTGGCATAAACTTTTGTATTAAATATAGGTCTAAGTTTCCTTGGTCAAATGTCAAGATTCCACTGTGTATTAACAATCAGAATAAAACACAGAATAGATATATTTTTCCAATATCATTTATTATAATACAAGAAAAACAAATCTAGAAAGCACGTTTCATGGAGCACCATATTGTAACAAAATTTTGCTGGCTCTCCTGCAGTGTATTTTTGACATTTAAACAATGACACACACATAGTACACACAGGCACCTACACCACGGCCAACTTATTGACAGACCCAAAGAGACTCCTCTTTCAAATACAGCCACACTAAGGTGCACAGAGGAATGCTGGTGTGAAGGCATCTGAAAGCTAACTGAGTTAATCACTCTTTTGTTAGCTATCTTCATAAGCACACAAGCCTCCCTGTCTCACCCCAATCCCTCTTCACTGAAGAATCCAAGGTGAGCCCAACTGATTATGGATTTGTCACAGACATGGTGTCAAGTTGTACAAAACTGGCCAATATTCCCTACCTGACTCCTCTTATTGCTTTGGTTATAGTACTGAATGAAAGTCTTAAAAACACTTAAATCTATACTCCACATCACAGAAAAGCCACTTTTACACATGCAGAAACAAAACTTCCCTCTGCACACACCTGGATGCATAGCACAAATACCTTTTTGAGAAGTGTTGTACGCTTCCCCACCAAGATCACCTTCCTAAAAATCACTGCATTTTGTTTTTCAGAGTGTTCAGACAGATGTTCAGCAACATATTTCATATATATTTTCTTATTTTTAATAGATGGGGCATGTTTTCCTGCTGCCTTAAATTTATGTCATTGTCTACACAAGGAAAGAGCAAAATGCTATAGCTTCTCATCTGCACAAAATGTTTTACATTCCTTTTATACAGTGCTAAATACAGATGCTAAGCACAGAACAATGTAGAATGATAGCCCAGAATAGCTTTATGTTGCTCAAAATAAGAAATACTGGAATTTTCCCATATTAATGTTGAGACATAATATTGAGGTCTCTATTATATACAGTAGCCTTCCAGAATGCTTTCAGGCACCTATTTTGAGAGCTGTTGCTCAACATGTAAGTCTCACTGGAGCATCTCAAGTAATATGGTATAGTGCCCTGACCCAGTGAGAATGAGACAGAAGCAAATCCAGTCTCACAGCAGACTAGACAAGGCTAGCAAAGTAGAAAAATCTCTACCTGGACCCAAAACAACTGTTACAATAATTTTGGGTATGTGACATATGGCCGCTTTTATTATCAACTGAGGATGCCATTTCATTTAAAACCTTTTCAATAAAATGTTTTAATTTTTTAAAAAAAAAAAAAAAAAAAAAAAAAGACATGATGTTTCTGTCAGCCTCCTAGAAAATAATACTTTTTTTTTTTTTTTCTTTATGATCATTTCACTTTGAAGAAAGCCCTGCTTTCTTTTCTGACCAGAAGCTTTCTGGGGAAACCCAAGATTTCGCAAAATATATTTCTCTCTTGATAATCAGTGAGGCTGGAATATCTTTCAATTTTAGGCAGAACACTCATACATGTTGTCAAGAAAAAATGAAGTTATTGTGTATTTTTATTTGTGGAAAATCAATGTGTTTTTCCCATTTACAGGAGCCAATTTTATAATTCCTGTATACTATGTGATGAAGAGGCATCTGTGAATTACTAAACAAAATAATGGCAATTCAAAAGGAGAGAATGGACTTGAAAAAGGATTGTAACTTTAGATATGCAAATGGGTATTAACAAACTGAATTACTAATTCCAGCTCTTTCCTCTGAACTAAAGGTATGTTTCAACAGCTGTGTTAAATATTTGGCTAATATTTCCCATATAAACAGTTCAGACTTCAACAGTATAATGAGGAAAAGAAGAAAAGACTCACTAGTTTAAGTTTTACAAAGGCTATGGAGTTGCTGTGGATTAAAAAATTTTCAGATGACTAAAGAATAGGATATAATAAGGAAAAGAGATGCTGTTCTGGGTATATCAATACAGGTTTTCAGTTGGATTAAATTCTACAACTTGACTCGCCTGAGTAAAAGGATAGTGTAGCAAAACCAGAAGAGATTCAGAGATAAGGAAAGAGTACGAATCTGTATAAGAATATGAGTTATTGTTTGTCTTAAACAAACAAAAGTATGCAAATTTCTATATAGATTATATAATGACCGACATACAGAAGAAAAATTTGGATCGCTTATGTTTAGTGGTTTAGCCTATAACAGCCAGAGATGAGAATGACATTGAAAAGCAGCCTATTTAAATATGAAAGAAAAAAATCTGTTTTCATTTGGTTTTCTTTGAGCTTAAAAGGGATGGGTTTTTATTTTAGTAATCCCCACCTCACAAAATATTTAAATCTCAATACCCAGAATCAGCCTCTCATGAGGGATGATGAGACATCAACAATCACTTCAGGAAAGGCAAAAACAATATGGGCTGAAGCTAATAAAAATTCTCTAAGTTAAAAATTATTGCACCTTCCCCTGAAGCATCTGATACAGTCAGAGGTAGGATACTGGATTAAATAAACCATGCAGTTTGGCTATGTTACTGTTTCTATGATAATATGTTATAAAAATTCTGTTATATATCCCAGTTAGTCATGAAGATCTGTAGCAATCTTCCGCATTGAGCAATGATTTACAGTAACATTAATGAACGGTAGGACAGGATAATGATTATTAGTGGTCTTAGGCATCATTTATATGTGCACACATGTATATACACATACGTAAAAATGTATTATATACATGTGGCTGCATATATAAATACACGCACACAGAGACACAGGTCTACTGAGAAGTGGGGCTCACTAGGAGATCTGACAACTACTCTTTACACCTTTCTCCAATGCACATTACCAAATGTGTAAGAGCATGTGTGTCTGTGTTTAACAGTGTGTGGAGGAAAATGTGAGAAGAATAGGAAGCATGAACCTGAGTACGGGAGAAATTACCCATGTTACTGTCATTATTTCAGATCTGTGCTTGAAAACACATTTCCGAATTCCTCCTACATTGGCTAAGTTGACCAACAGCCAAGCTAGAGGAAATACACAATATTAATGGGCATTGTGAAAATTAAAACACTGACATATTTTCATTCTTTCCTATGTCGGCATCAACACATCATATTCCTGATGATGCACAGGATGAGAAATTAAGAACTAATTTGATTTTTGCCACTTATTCTGTTTATCTGTTTCATGTTTCTGCCAAAGATGAGAGAAAACTTGGATAGTCCATCTCCATCCATATGGGTTTTCATTTATCAGCTCTAATAGGTTAGCTCATTGTAAATCTGCCTCTTCATCAGGCTTGATTAAATAATTTTAGTTTTAGAAATACCTAAACTTATTGTGTACTCTAAGTTCACAGTATCTCTTTCAACATAACAATCCATTCCTCATACTCGTTCATATGAAAATTCTGTCATCTTTTACACTTACATTAATTCAAACTATTTGTCCTCCCTGTTTCTCTTCGGGGAAGGTTTTCAAGAACATGAGCAAAACAGACTATCAGCTTATCAGTTCTGTAGCAGAACTGCAGCAAATCAATTCTAAGACTGCAATCAACTTTCAGATTAACATAGATATAAACAATGTTCAGGTATCTAAGACAGTAAAAGTTAGCATGACTACATTTAACAGGGTAAATGACAGGATAGGTTTCCATTTCAATGAGGTAAAATTGTGCATAAGTTCTCCCGTCCCCAAAATATACCTGCAAGATCACATTAAAAAAAAAAAAAAAAAAAAAAAAAAAAAAAAAAAAAAAAAAAAAAAAAAAAAAAAAAAAAAAGAGAGAGAGAGAAATAAGTTATTATTTTAAATCTAAAAGTGAAATTACCTTTAATTCTATTGCTAGACAGAAAGAGATGGAGGTGGATAAAGAAAGAGAGATGAGAACAAGTGAACATTGATATATGTGTGTTGTCAGCTCTCAGAACCAAGGGTTTGGTTGGCATCAGCTGAGTTTTGTCTCATGATGCATGCTCTAGATGGTTCTCAATGTTGTGTTATAATTACTCCAGGTATTTCAGTTTTCAGATGGTAATGGGCTTATTTGATCACCTTCGTCTTTTTGGTCCAACTCCATAGATTTTAACACCTTTCTCAGCAGGCACAGGCCTGCACAATGGATAGAAACACGTAAGGTAGCATTACATAGTTAATATGCTGTGCAGAGGTGTCCACAGGGTGCAAATACCAGCAGACAAAGTTTCATCTTGCTCTGAGCAGCCAGTCTGCATGTGCCAGTCTGCATGTGGTTCCTGAAGTCTCTGAACAATAAATTTTCTACCAAGATAGGAAAATCGCCTCACTGCACTGCCTTTATATGCGAAGCAATTGCAAAACCCCTGCTCCTCTCAAGTTCCTTGCATTGGCTACGGGGGGTAAAGAAGCGTTTCTGATGAAATGTACAGCATTGCCTTTCCATGGAATGCCTTACTAGCAGAAACACTTTCTGCGCCTCACCCCGGCACTGGGGCTTCTGGGAAACAGGTCTTACCTAACCACCCTACCTTCTTGCCAGCAGCCCCTTTTTGGAGAAGCCTGTTCACCTCTTCTGTCCCATAACAAGAGCAGGAGTGCGATTTCTTTTTCACTTGACAATGTTTCTGTGGAGCTAGATTTTTGTTTTATTTTCTTTTCCTAGTTAACATTCACTTGACATTGTTATCAAATGTGTTCTCCTGCAATCATCTGAAAGATTTTATTCAAACTAGCATGTTTTCTTTTTTTTCCCTTTTGCATCACTTTAAAGGGACACATTGGTCCATCTAACTCCTGTGGAGAATGGATTTCATCTTTTGCTGAAGTTTTGCTCCAGCCAAAGCCGGACCTCTTGAAGGTTGTAGAAAAAAGGGCCTTTGCCCCCCAGGTAGGCAATTTTTTGTCTCTGCACAATACATACTCGCTCAAATGAAACCCCGTAGGCCACATTGGCATTGTTGTCCATGCAGTCAGCCACAACTTGGCACTGAGGTGGCAAAGAAAAGTGCTCTAGGAGCTGGTGAGCAGCTGCACATCTCTCTTCCTGGCTTTTGTGTTTCTTAACTTCGAACGAAGAGGGAGAGATTCCAGGTGCAGCCCAGCCATCTGATGGGTGAGCTTCATCGATGTAGACCAACAGAAAGTCAGCCACACCAGAGAACTCCTCCACCAGCTTGCTGAAGGCTGACAGCTGGCTTGTGAACGGTGGTCAGGTAGCTGAGCCAAAGTTGACCACCAGTGGACGCTCTGAGTTGGCAAAATCCAGAAGGTGGCATTTGGTTCCACACTTGCCACCAACGTTCTTCCAGCTGCCACTGCTGTCATCACTGCCCTTGGCTATGTGGATTACACTGGAGTTGGGGGCTTCTCCTCCCAGTTTGACCTGATGGCAGAACAAATTAAAACATAGCAAGTTAGTGTGACTTGCTTGTACAGTATCCTTATGACTACTCTCTTCAAACAGTCACCTGTTCAGAGTACACGTAATGAGTCACATGGGGGCAGAGCAAATCATCAAAAGCAGCAGCTTCAGAACAGTCATCTTGTCCATTCAGGAAAATGTGGCATTTCTGACAAATATGCTACTTCATTCATGTTAGAAAATTTGATGAGGTCTGTCCTGTCCACTACATACTTGGTCCTGTCCACCCTTATGTATTTGGAGACTTGTATTTGTTTTCAGACTACCTCAAATTTCTTCTAACTTTCCTCTGTGACACATAGGGTTTTTTCCACTAGCATTTTCCATGAGTTCTCTCCATTTGGTCCATGAGCTTCATCCTTGAAGCTCACTATTCAAAACTTCAACAGTCTTTTCACTAACTCAAAGCATAATCAGACAATTACTTTGTATAATGAAGTAGCTCACAGACTACACCTGTTTATATATTTTAGATGCTTGCTTTATGAGGCACCATGACTGTTATGGAAAAACAGTAACCTGTTGATTAGAGATTAGCTAGTAAGGTGTTATAAAGCCTAGGTCCCTTTTCAGCCCACAACCTACAGTTCAAGCCATTTTTCCAATTCTCAAAAATCACTCTGAGTTATATTCCTGATTTTCACAACACACACAGTTCCTCTCAATTTTGAGAGATTTGCAGCTTAGTGTATTCTTTTTCATCCTGCAGACCAAAAATGAAAATACTCAAGAGTACCAAACACAAGAGATCTCTGCAAATGCCCACTTAATATATACACTGCTTTGACAGTGAATCATCCAAGATTATTGTGCTCTCTAAAATTTCTTCTAACCCCTTTGCAGTAATTTCATTGGTGATTGAGTGACACATTTCCTTCTACTGCAAAGTTTCTTTACAAGATGACTGAGGGGAAAAAAAGCAACAGGAAAAGAGGAAAGTTTATATCATGGCTGAAGTAGGATGAGGTGAAAATTAACTGTTCTCAGCTCCAACTTCAGATCTAACTCAGACCCAACAGGCAGTGGTGGAAATGTCATTTTGCCTGGCCATTTCTGTTTGCATGTCTATAGAACAAAAGACAGAATAAAAGCCACCCACAGGAGGGAATCACAGAATAAGGTGTAGCCTGCAGACTTCTCCAAGATCCTTAGCTGATAACTACTATAGAACCACGAAACATTATTGCATAATGCAATTAATTTTTAATGAGCTCTGCCTCATTAAATTCCTATGAAATTCCTATGCCTCTGCCTTTAACATCAGCCTCTAGTACAGCAATGCAATTATCCTTTTGTATTTTCCTGACTCTTTCTTTCTCTGTCCACGGACTATTTGATTACTTTCAGAATTGTTGTTTTGAAGGAAACACACAGGGTCAAAGTCTTTAACATTTTATGTATTTCTTTCTGAAGCTACACTGCAATTAAAGTCTATAGATGTTAACACTACATTGGAACTATGTAAAAACTGAATAAATAACTGATTTTTGGTGCTCTTCTATTTTACATTGCATTACAGGAGTCAGATGCAGTAAGAAGCTGAGTGAACAGCTGAATACTGAACTCATGCAGTTGCTGCTGAACATAGATCCAAAGACAAGTAGATTGCTGATACTGGATCCTCCATTTTTCCCTCAGAAACCTGACTATCTTGAGCAAAACTGCAGTTATTCATGGCTCTGTACTATTTCATCAGAATAGCAACAGAAGCAAGAGTCTAATCAAAGAAAAGTTTGTAAGGTACAGTCATTAATGCTTCCAGAATTCACAGCTATATGAGAATGTGTCACAGCATGTTGGCACATGACTAGTAGCATTATTTTGAGTCTTTTCAATATGGCAAATTGAAACACAATCATGCCATCATTCTCACTCAGACATAAGCAAGGAAGAAAAGATGGCCTGAGACCCACAAATCTCACCAAGCCAAGTATGTGGCGGTCATGCCACTGGAAGCAGAGGATATGCAACTGCAGCAGTCAAGAGAAACAAGGATGCTCCGGGAAAGGAAAGCCCCTTTTGCCCCCATCACATAAATCTCCATCTGCAGCATTGCTATCTGCTAGAGCACTGGGAATAGTTTAAAAAAAGCCTTGTGCTTCATCTTTGAAAGCAAGAGGCTTGAAACAGCTGAGTTTAGGAGCTGATGTATGAGTGTACTATCCACTGAACTCAAAGAAAGAAAACAACTATATCCCAGTTTTTGAGAAAAAATTATCTGTCTGGAGAGGCAGGCTCACAAACTCAGGCTCTTGCATTTAAGAAGTACCACTAAGCATCTTAAGGCTACCTACACCTTAGCACGTAGTCTTCTGTTCAACTCTTGATCATTTCTCTCTGCCATTCTGTGACATAAGATAGATAAAGCAGGACTAAGGTAAAGGGCTGCACATGAACAAAGAAATACACAGGTCAAGATCATGTGGTATCCATATAATCATCCTGAGAGTTGCATTCAATCCAAAAGCCAACTAAACAATTCAGCAATTTGTAATAAATTGGTGACTACCACAAAAAGGGACATCTCGAGAAACACAACATATGCATATCTACACAAACACTAGATCTGTCTTCACCTAGAAAGCTTAACTGCTCCTGAACTACCATACATGCTTTTTCAGAGATAGCTTGCTGAAGATGTGCCTTTTGGGCAAAAACTGACATGTAAGTATCTTTGCTTCACCCAACCCCCTGGGTGAATAATGGGCCTCAGTATTTAAGAGTGTGTGCTCACCCAGTCAAAGAAAAGAAGTAATGATATGTAATTTATATTACAAATCACAATTAAACAACACACTTTGAATTTCTTACATTTGCTCTCACTCTTCAGAGAAGAAAAATAAAGGTAAAAAGAAGTGCCTATATGTCAGGAATGAACAGGGCTTCTTAGGACCAAAGAAACATCTGAGCAGCTGTTTCTACTTACTCTTCAGGTTTTATTTTAACAAAACTATCATGACTGAAAATATCTAGCCACCACTCTTGAACTGGGAAACCACAGTTTGCTTCTTGATTGTTTTAAGCAGAAAGAGAGGCTATATATTATAAACTACTCCTTACCAATTCCTCACTCAGGTCCACCAAACCCTTTAATTTCCTAGGCCAGTTTGCAAACCCTGAAGAAATAATTCTAATAAAACAACTACCAATAGACATCAACATGGGAATGCCCTTCAAGTCCTATTTAATGTTGATACCAAAAATGTTCTTCGACAATGCAAGTTTACATTCTCCCTCCATACTCTTTATGGACTACAAAAATAGATTAGGAATTAGGAAACAAAGTAAAAAGAAGCCTTTATCCGTCTATACATCACCTTACAGAAGTTTCTCTTCATTTCTCACAGCCATGAAGGAAGTCTCATGGCCGCAGGTTACCTATAATTTTAATTTTTGTTTCTAGGAGTGCTTGTGTTGAGTTTTTTCCCCTTAATGAGACATCCTTGCCAAGCAGGCATTCATGAGGCATTTTCTGCTCCTGTAGAGAAGTAATTAGGCCGGTGCCTTGTTCCATGCCAGTGTCAGGCACTCCAAAAAGCAGCCCTGCCCAATCGTTAATGCTTAAACATAAGCAGCAGCGGCAGATCCACTAATTGGTCTTGATGAAGCACTGACGTTCCCAAGGGACTGTTTATTTCACCAGACTCTGAACCGATTGACACAGGATGACAATATCATCCTTGCTGATCATCTGCATTGTAGGCCTTGGCCATCCTCTTTGTTGTTATTTATTGAAAGAAAAAATAGCTCTTGGAAAAGAAAATCAACGCAATGAGAAAACAAACAAAAACACTCATGTATTCAGCCAAACTGCTTTTGAAATCCTACACAAAGGCAGGCAAAATATAAATTCTGAGAAACAAACCAGCAGAATTCCCCTCACACGCAATCCAGCATTTCCATAATCACGTACTTTTGTGCGTGAATATTTGGCCATTTGGTGCCAGCCTTCTGAATGAGGTAGCAGCTGAGCAGCACGCAGGCATCCCCTCCCACACAGCCTGCTTGGAACACGCAAGGTAGGCCAACCAAATCTGTGAGCCAGCCCAGCCGTCAGAGGGGCAAGCAGCTGCACCAAAGCAGTGACTCGCATCATTTGTGAGAATTTTGGGTTTGCCTGACAGCATGTTCTCAGTCTGCATGCAAAGTGAAAAGGGAACAAGATTGCTGATGTTTTAGCACACAGCCTCCAAAATGAAGGGGACTTAGGGGCAGGAGAGAAAGCCCTATTCATAAACTGCAGGCTAGAAATAGCACATATTGCTAAGTTTGTAGTACATTTTCCATAAGAACTAGGTAAAGCCCCACAGACAAAATATTGTCTCCTCATTTGCCTTTTCTTTTTTCTTGTTTTGCTTTTATCAACTTCAGCATAACCTTCCTGGGATCCTGTGCACTGGAATACAGCTTAAATTCCCTGCAACAGGGATTTTCATAGAGTTTGGCACTCATCAGATTATGTCAACCCCCTAAAAAAATAGGTGCTGCCAGACAATTAGCAGTTTATGGTATTAGTCATTTGAATGGACATGTTGTGTTTGGGACTGGAATACAGTAACTGGTAATGAACTGAATCCCTGTAGCCTTTGGCGTTTTTTAAAATTCTCTGCCTTGATTTGATCCCATTCAGCTAGGTATAGCTTCATCCAAATCATAATTTGACTCTTTGAATTTGGCAAATTCTACAAACTATTAATTTTGTTTTCCTTATTTCATGACCCAGAGTTGTGCAGTTGACAAAAATCACAGAAGATCCTTGTCTAGAGTACAATAAGGATGCAGAAGTTCTTCATTTGTCTTGGGAAGGTGGCAACTTGAATTATTCAAATTGGAGAGCAGAGACTAGAAATGGCTCAGGCTTTCCCAGTCTTTTATTTAGGATCAGGTATGTGGAGCTGACGAAGGGAAGAGGGAGACAAACAAACCGGGCACAGTCCAGATAAAAATAACTAGTCAAATGC